CCCCACAATTTTCCTCTCAATTTCTCAAGAATTCTCTCATAAAAAATCTCCATTGCTCAAAATTGCATAAGGTTTGATCAACTCAAGACACTTCCTCAACACTGGGCTCAAACTAAGGTTTGGGTTTGGACAAGTACAATTGGACTTTTAATGCCCCATATAGTTTCCAAGGATCATATTAGGCTCTTAAAAATCAGTTCAAAGAAAGGATAAAGAGGAATTTGTCGAAAGGACAAAGCAGATCGAAAGGTGTGCAACTGTAGATAACAGTTCAAATTCAAAATCTGGTTCAGGCTGTTCAAACCACATGACTGATCGAAAAGGAGTGGTGGGCAGATTTTGACAAATCGAAGAAGAGCAAGCTTGCTTTGATCCAAAAGCTTCGATTAGGAAATGGTTTCCTTCGAGCAACCTGCTTCAATCCACCTCTAAACCTGCTTCGATCCACAAGCTTTGACTGGGCAATGGCTTCCTTCGAGCAACCTGGTTCAATCCACAAACTTCGACTGGGAAATAACTTCCTTTGAGCAAGCTTGCTTCAATTCACAAGCTTCGACTGGGAATGTCTTCCTTCGAGCAGCTTGCTTCGATCCACAAGCTTTGACTGGGTAATGGCTTCCTTCGAGCAACCTGCTTCAATCCACATACTAAACCCTTCGACACACATAGTTTCAACACTATGAATTACAAGTCTATCTTCATGCTTTCTTCGACCCACAAAGTGGTACATTCAGATGAATGTGGTCCATTCGAAGAACACACAATTGATGGAAACAAATATTGTTTTATCTGTTGATGAGTTTGGTCGAAGGTTGTGGATCTATGTGATCAAAAATGAAAGGAGGGAGTATTCGATGCAAGGAATCAAGTTGAAGACAGAATCCATAGGCCATGCTACATGATCTTGCTTTGCAGGCCTCAACGCTTGTGTTTCACTCCATAATTAATTGTTTACATAATGAATTAAGCTCTAACCCAAGTATTTAAAATATTGTCCAAACCAATTTTCCCTTAATGGCACAAAGTTGCCATTGCCATTTTAGAAAAGTATGCTTTATGCAAAATGTCAATGCATTGAGCCTTGTGACTTTTATCTATGATTGCAAGCAATATCAAAAGCATGAATCAAGTCTCCTGCACCCAACAAACATCAGACCATGCTTGTACTTGAACTTTGGAACCATGAAAATCCATTCAACTTGATTTTTTTTGTTTTCAACTAAACCATAATTTGTTATCTTGCAAATCTAATTACTTCAACTTCCCAAATCTTTTCTCTATAAATAGAGAGACCATTTGCAAGCTAAAGGGGCGAGATTCATGTGTGTTGAAAAATCCTCAAACACTCCTAAACTCTCAAAAACTCAGAACCTGCACACAAGCACAAAACTTGGCACATCCTGACTTTACACATAAAAGTCTCAAATCCCTTTGTGCGTTAGTGATCCTTTCAATTCACCCAGCTTCCATATACCAGCCTTAAGAACACTCCCAAAGCCCTCAAAAAACCTATGAAGGAAGGTAGTGATCCTTTTGACTCACTCCCAACTTCCATATACCAGCCTTAAGAACACTCCCAAATCCCTCAAAAAATCTCTCAAGGAAGGTAGTGATCCTTTCGATTCACTCCCAGCTTCCATATACCAGCCTTTTGATTCAGTGACTTTTAAAGCAAAGTAGTGATCCCACTAGCTCAAGGAAGGTCCCTGCAAGCTTAATCCATCATCAAGTTATTTTTGGAAGTCATATAAAGGTCTTTCGATTTGCATTTCAAGAGGTAAGATTTCTTAACAGTGATATCTTGATACAAGCATTTTTAGCACAATCAAATAAAAGAAAAGATGTAGATATCATATCTAGGAAGTTGACTATGCTCTTAGTTTTGACTATCACTGCTTATACATTGAGAATTTCATATCTGATCAGTTAGGTTTTAGTTTTGGTACTGAACAAAATTCATACTAACCTCTGATCCATAGCTTTCGAAAATTACATGGCTGGATTCGTATTCAAATTCTAGGCAGATTTGGTGTTTACATTTTTTTTGATTTGGCTGAGAAATGTAGCTTTTAGAAGCTTAATAATGGCGATATGCATCCCTGGGCACGCGAAGGAAGAAGATGAAGCCATGTTAAAATTTTAAGAAATGAGTTCATTTTATATTTAGTGCAAGTTATATAACTAACGAATGAAACAAACCACCCCGGTGGTACAAACAACGCACGCTAAAACCCTGCCATGTAGAAGGTCCTGGGTTCGAACCCTAGCGATACCTTTTGTCTTTTTTCCAAATTTTCTCACTTTTCTTTGTTTGCAGGAAGCGCGCCTGGGCCTCCATTGACTGGGCCTTGACATTTTTATTTTTCTGACCCCCCCCCCCCCCCCCCCCATTTTACTTCAGCAATGCAACCCATTTTTATTTTTTAGTTCTTTAACTAAATGATTAATTGGGCCAGGCCAAACAAAAACTATTTTCATGTAAAAAAACCCTAAGATTAAACTTTTGATTAATATCATTTTTAACTTAATTTAGTTTTCCTATTTTTTATTAATCATATCCCTTTAGGTTAATAGGTCAAAACAATTTTTCTAACAAAAATCAAAACAAATTCATTTTCTTTTCATTCATGTCTTGTATATTATATTCCTTTCAATTCTTGTACATTATTCAAGTTCAATAAGGTTGTAATAGATAATTAGGTTTTATTTCTTGCAATCCTCATTTGTAAATTTGTACACCCCATCCCCAAATGATGTAATAGCGTAGTAAATTTACTTTTCGCAATTTACCGCTTTCATATCAATGCTAGTAGATTAGGGTTTGTATGGAAAGATAAAATCAATGCTTAGAAAACCCTAATTCAAGACAAAATCAAGCATGAAAAAATAAACACTTTACACACTTACACCTCTAAGGTTAACTCCATTTGTTGCCTTGAGAAAATAGTCATAATATGCATGTGAGACATCTTAGCAAAAACAATCAAAAATACAATATCATAGTCCCTCGATGACGCTACGAATGTTGCCTTATAAATGATCTTAGTCCCTCAAGAGAAATGCTAAGATATCTCACAACATTGTTATTCATGACTATACGATGACCCACACCCGTCCCTTTACATCGAAAGATAAGACTTCTTATCAATCAATAATAAGATAGCAATATCAAAGGAAGAAAGAAATGAATGAAAGACTTTTGAGTAGGTAAAACGTTCTTAGTTGCTTGCTCACAATCTATCTTCAAAAACAAAAAATGTCTTTTCAAATGCATCAAACACTTTCAAAACATGAAATATTTTCAAAAAGTCCAACACTTTGTATGCATTTTTATAGAGACGAGAATCATTACAAAGTTTGCCTAAACGAAAGAAATTTTCAAAAATACTTTCAAAACCCACCACAAACACATTTCAAACAAAGCAATTTCAAAAGTGATGTAGCAAGCAACTAAGAGTCCATAGATAACTATGGATGAAAAGAGTGCTATCATCTTCCCTTTTCATAATCTACCCCCTGAACTCAAGAAAACATCTCAAAGGTTTTTCCTGTTCTTTTCACCCTTTCCTTTATTTGATAAAAGAAAAGTCGGTGGTGACTCTTGCTATCCGCAACAATTGCGATCAAACGCAAAACAAGTCAATTCTCCCACCGTATCACACTAGTCAATAATTTAAATAAATTAAAATAATGACTAAAAAAATGTTCTATACGAATATGGAGAGGTGTGCATCATAATGAATGTTAATAAATTGATTGAATTTATGAGAATTTCTTTTTACACCTAGTCCACTTCTTCAGGACATTTGGCGAAATTTCTAAAATACTTCTAGAATTTTGAACTGCATCTCCGAACGAACCAAATTTCATTTTTAAGGGTGTTTTCGGATATGCATATTCGAAATAACCCAATATTTCATTTTCAAGGGGGTTATTGGATATGCATATCCGAAATAACTCAATTTCAGATTTTTAAAGGTGTTTTCAAATGTGCATATCCGAAATAATCCAACATTTTGTCTTTGAGAGTTTTCAGATATACATATCTGAAGTATTTCAACAATTAGAATCAAGGTGTATCAGTTATATTAAGTATATTACCTTATCAATTATTTACAAAGTTATATATATTTTTAGTGTGTTAGAAATGAAAAAATATTATTTATTTACATAAAAATATTTTTTTAATATAATAATTTTTTTAATTAAATATAATTATTAATTATTAATTTTATAATAATAATAAATTTTTTTTATCAAAATTAAATTAAAATTTTAAAATTACAGTTAAAATTTTTATATTTTTTATAAAAAATTATTCATAATTTTAAATAAATAATTAAAAAACAATTTCATTTCACTATTATAATTAAAAATTTAATTATTATATTTAATTTTATATCATAAATTTATTTTATATTTAATTTTTAATTATAAATTTAAGTTATTTTTTATTAATAATAACTCAATTTAATTGTATTATTATTATATTATAAATAAAAAATTTCTTAAAAATAAAATTAAAATAAATTTGTGATATTGAGTGACTTCGGATAAATATATATAAAGTCATCTAATTTAATTTTTTTAAAGAATATTTTAGATAAATATATTTGAAGACATTTAATATTTTAAATTTATAAGATGCATTTAAAAATGTATATCTGAAAAAATGTAGAAAACTTTTAGAATTTATATTCTGAAAAAAAAAATGAAATGATGTGAAAGTTTATTTTATTTGTTCATATACTAAATAGGTTCAGGAAGATACTAGAAACAGATAGAACTCTGAATAAAGAGAATATTAAGAAAATTAATGTCAAAAGGTTCTGGAAGTTTCACACCACCGCGTTTCTTCTTGTAATCATTTTTCTTGAACCTTCCAGTTTCTTCTTCATTTTCACCCTTTAAATACTCCAAATCGCCTCCTCTATCATCACACCAGACATTGAAAATCATTTCATCAAAGTAGATAACAAATTCAGGGTAAGTGAACGAAGATGGATTTGAGATTGGTAGGTTTGGATGGTCCAGTATTGCATGCTCTTCACCAAATGATGGATCTTTCAGACTACAATTCTTCCGACAAGTCATCATCACACAATGCTCCGACACGGTCGTATGTTAGAGATGCGAAGGCGATGGCTGCAACTCCGGCGGACGTGAAGGAATATCCGAATTCATACGTGTTCGTGATCGACATGCCAGGGTTGAAATCTGGTGACATAAAGGTTCAGGTTGAAGATGATAACGTGCTTGTGATAAGTGGTGAAAGGAAAAGGGAAGAAGAGAAAGAAGGTGCAAAGTATTTGAGAATGGAACGGCGAGTTGGAAAATTTATGCGCAAGTTTGTTCTTCCTGAGAATGCTAATACCGATGCTGTTTCTGCAGTGTGTCAAGATGGGGTGTTGTGTGTTACCGTTGAGAAATTGCCTCCTCCTCAACCTAAGAAACCCAGAACTATTGAGGTTAAGATTGCTTGAAACTGAAATCTTGAATTGAATTATGATGATCTTTGGGACAGAGGAGTAGGGTGTGGTTTTCTTAAGGTTGTTTGTTTTTTTTTCTTAGTGTTGTTTTCGGGATCATTACTTGAGTTAATTTGGTTTGATGCACTACGAGGATGTTTAGATTGTTATATGGAATTTGATGTAACTTTGATAATTGATGTAATGTAGTGGTTCTGTTTTGGATGTTCTATTCCTTCTGTTCTTTTTTCTTGCATCTTTTTCAGGAATAAGTTCTCGTTAACAAAAATAATTATTATCGTGTAAAATGAACCGTTCATTTTTTAAATACTATGACTGGACTCTATTTGAAAATTGACATGCCGATAAGCAATTCCATTCTCATCAATACACTGAATCTTCATTTTCTCGTTGCCAAGAAAGCATACGAACATGTCTTGGAAATCCTTGACAAACCCTCTCTCCAAAAGCTTTGTTCTGACACATGTAACTAAGCAAATATGGCAGTACTAATCGAGTTCACATTTGAGGGCTTATCTCCAAAAATATACTTACTTCTTAGAACACCAAAAATGCCATATTTTTGTCGGAGATTTCTTAGTATACCTTCTATAAATGGAATCGCTAAAAACTCCAAAATATCCTATAAAGCTTTTTTAAGGTGTTTTGGATATATATATTTAATTTTTTTTATTTATATGTTATAAATATTTAAACATTAGATTTAAATATTAAATATATTTTTGAAAATCATCAAAAAAAATTAATTCGAATATACATCTCTGGAATTCTGGATATAATGTATTTATGACATAATTTTTATAATAAATCAATATCAGTATCAATACCGGTATCTAATAAACACAGCAATTTAACAAATAATTTGTTTAAATAATATAAAAACTGAAATAATAAAAGTAAAAAATGATACATACAAAAATTGTTCAAAAATACTGAAAATTAATACATAAATTATTTAACATAAAATGATCATATCAATACATATAAAAAAAGCATAGTCTACTACATATATCTAATCTTAACCCTCTAACCATCTTCTCTATGACCACCGTCTCAGGACCGTCCTTCTCAATAATATCTAAGTCTAAAGTCTCCTACTAAATCAAATGTATTCGCTGATAGATCAGCAAGACATCAGTGGCATGGTCATTATGGGTCTGTTGGTTCTTCAAGATCTCCTTATGAGCCGGTCTAGGTGGACGTCTAGTAGCATCCAGTGTCATAATAGGTGTGATAATGTGTAGAATTATGTCACGTATCTCTCTACACAATGTCAATTGTTGGATGACCGCATCATTTGAAACTTCTCTAGTACTATATAATTCTCTCAATCTTGGAAGATGTCATCGAGCTCCCGACAGACAATGGTGTCGGGAGCATCCTGAAAAAAAGATTTGGCTATGGTCTGCACATAGTCAAATTGTCGGATGCATCGCTCTGAAAGAGATCTGACCATAGTGTTAGTCTCACATGCCATCCATCTTGAGTATAATGAGATGAGGTCGAAGGAGACGATCTCCCCATGATCATCAAACGGCGTCCAGATGATGTCATCATGAACAGTCCGATCAAGATACACCCGCAACAACGACACAACATGATTCTCTCTGTGGAGGATATACTTGGCAGTCATCGACGTGTCCTCGTTATAATCTAGAGCATAATCGAAATCATGGATACAATAGAAGCGAGAAATAATCCATCCCTAAAGAACAAATAAGAGCCATGTAAGAACAAATCATTAGCTACTAAATAAAATTTAACAGTTAAAATGAGAGGTAACGTGAACAGTGTACAACAGTCTGTCAGCTGTCTCGTCCTCCATTTAGAAGCTTCATTCATCTTTTAGTATAGGTATACCAAACAACCAGTCCTTAGTTCCACTCACTAACTGTGTCCAAATCCATGAAGTACTAGAGGTATGCCAAACCAATGTAGGTAACATTTTTTCCCACAAAAATGGACGTGCCAACCATAAACAAGAAATAACACCTCAAAGCACATTTGCGGTGGTACTGAACAAAGAGCTCATTGCCCTCTACCTCGGAAGATGCTGCCACGTCCATGTGCTCGGCATATAGGTCACTCAATAAAGAGAACTTGGCATGAGTCCTATTAGTTGAGTCACATTGTTCATGTTCCTTTTCTAGATCACCTTCTAAACATTCAACCATCCATTCAATCGCTTCAACACGAGTGATCAGAGAATGATTAAGTAACCTCCCTTTGATAGGAAGGTGTAGCAGACATGGGATGTCATTAAGTGTGATCGTTATCTCCTCCAACAGGAAAGTGGAAAGATAACGTCTCCTTGTGTCATCTTTCAACAAATGCACCATGCAAGCAGTGGCTAATAGTAACGTAACCGAAACAACAAAGTCCGGCAAGTCTGGAGCCAACAACGGCCTCCCTGAACCAAGTCTGATTAGGATGATATAGTTCAAATATTTTTTGCGTGTGGTTCACATACTTTATGGGCCTTCGTTCTTATAAATAAATATTAATCTCAATGTTAGTCGTTAACAAATTTGTGCGTAATCACTACAATAAATAACACTTTTTATGACGAAACTTTCATTTCGAACATGCTAAAAACCGAGAGGATATATCCTGAGAGCGCAATATTTTATTTTTTAATAAGATAAATAACATTTTTTAACACAACGATAAGTTAGCATTTTTTTAATCCATAATAAAATTAATAAACCTGTTATCTCGGTTTTCTTGAGAACCAAGGTAATATAGCTATAAGGAACCTCAGTTCGAATTCCCGTTGCCGCATTTAAAAAAAATTTCAACGATTTATCACTTGACATTTTTTCAAACATGCTAAAAGCTTTGTTATCAATAAACAAGAATAGGAAATAATAGAAAAAATAAATATTTCATTGATAATAATAAAAAAACATAACAACGAAAACTACTCAACAAATTCACATTTCTTAGTCCACTCAACTTCAACATTACTCCTAACTATTTCTAACTTTATATAAAAGTTCATAAAGAACTCTTTCATAAGGTATGAGGAAAGTCATTTCCTCTCGAGAAGTTTTTATCAGTTCCTTCAAGAAGTTGAAAATGGTCAGAGGAAATATTAACTCTCATGTTATAGGTGAGGAATAACAAGAGATGCTTGTGATACCAAGTAAGTGTTTCTAGGTCTTTCTCTCTTGGACGGAGATTTTCCACTAGAAGTTGAAACCAAAATTTTGCAATTGGGATTGGTGAAGCAGGATTGGAGAGCTTAGTTTGGTTGGCATAAATTCAGTGAAGTTGGGTTGAGTATACATTTTTGAATTCATGGTGTTTAACACAACTACCTGTCTCTTGACAGTTGATTGTCATTGCAATCAGTGATGAAGTAATGAAGAAATGAGAGCCATTGACATAGGACTTGATGAGTTCATCATGACCAGCTGGTACAAATGAGGCATTCATCCAAAACTCTTTAACGAGATTAGTGTATATTGGTGTGTTAAGAATGTTAAAGTAACCATTCAACCTTTGTCTGTTAATAACTTGTCTTAGTTGAAAACGGTCGAAATCATTGAAATCAACATACTTTTCATTGATAACTAACAACAGATTAGCATCCATTTATGATAAGAAAAAAGGACTTTGAAATAAGGAAACAAGACACAGAGTTGGTAATGAGACGTTGAAAATAGGAAAAAAAATTGAAAAAATGTTTGAAGACATAACGAGTTGGTAATTAGACATTTAAATAGCTCAAAATGCTACTTGATAATCCAAAAGAGGTGTTATGACTTGAATATATATGATCATTGTTATTCTAGCTAAGTGATATTATTCCAACGCATGCGCGCCACGTCGGTGTTTTAACCTTTATTTTAATTGTATTTTTTATTGATAATATAAATGTTCTAGCTCGTCAGTTTTTCATAAAACCGAGGGAAGATTTTAGCGTTAAAAGTGAGCGCTAATATTGGAACCTCTAATTTAATAGAAATCGTAAGTAGACTTATATAGAAGTCGCACCTATTTTGAGACCGGTCAATAGCAATCTATGCACCATTTGTTTTGAGACATGATATAGAGATCATGCTCCAGTAACACTTAGTGCAATAAGAAGGGGATGAGATGAAGTGGGGTGGGAGAGAAAATTAAACCACTTTTGAATTAAATTTAATCAAACTATTATTAAAATCATTCATCCATTTTTGTGGAGTTAAACTCAACAATATGGATCCAATGATGTTAATAAAGCTCATGATAAAAAATTTAATCCAAGATCAACCAGAAAATAATCACAAAATAATATTGCATTTAATATATACATCAAAAAAGGTTTTAAAATGTTTAAAAATAGAAATAAAAAGAAAAAATATCAACTATGTTCCAATTAATCAAGAAATAAAAAGTAAGACCATAGAAAAATCAGAAAAGGGCTCAAATGATTTTATAAATTTTTTGGTAATTTTTTAAAGTCATAAACTATTTTTTTAAAATTAAAAGAAATGGATAAAATAAACCAAAAATGATTTAAAAAAAGCAAAGTCAGAAACAAAAACAAAATAAGGTCACTAATATTTGTCACAATATCATTGAATCATTCCATAATTTTTTTAGAATTTAAAAATGCATAAAAATATTTTTAAACATTTAAAACAATTCAAATAAAGTGAAAATTTATTAAAAAAATACCAAAACAAAAAATTAAATTGTGAAAAAATGAAAATCAGAAAGAGAATAATCAAAAATATTTTCCATAATTTTTTCAGATTTTTTGAACTTAAAATTAATTTTCTATGATTATTTAAAGTTTAAAACAATTAAATATAAAAATCAGAAAAGAAAATAAAACTAAAAAATATGTGGACCATTGGATGAGAGTCAAAACGCGTTAGTAATCAAATCCATGGGATCTGGCGTGCTGTGCATATCATGGTCATTAGTGAATGAAGCACTGAATCAATTATTAAATCAGAATTCAAAAATAACACGTGGCGCGCCATCATTGGTTGGAAGATGAC